AATAAGAAATGTGGAACTGCACTGCAACACAACCCTTCTCTCTCCCCTAGTGAATAGCAGTTCCTCTGACTGTTGCTGCTGCTCTGAGCCACACAAGTGGATGCCTTCAAAGCACCAGCAGATACCCATTTTCTTCTGTAGAACATTAATTCTTTATTAGTCTGTTCAGATTGTTTTCCTGGTATGAAAACAATGTGCATTCTCACCTTTGGTAGCATGTACATTAAACAGTATCATGATCCACCAGAGAAACTCCTCTTTCTTAGGAAAACATGATGTAGACCTGACAGTGTGGCTGAAGATTTAAGTGGACTCTCATGGAAATCAGAGAAAGAAGAGCAGAGCTGTCTGAGAGCTGTTACCAGTGCCAACAACCTGCCAACAACCTTTAACATGTCAGTTAATAAAGCTCTGTCATGCCCAGACTAAAAGCAGGTATTTTTAAGTGAACAGAGAAGGTAAAGATCATTGTTTTGGCCTTAAGTGAGAAGTTCAGAACCTTCCCCTGAAAGCAGATCTATCAGATCAGCACTAAAGTGGCCAGACATTTGTGGTCTTTATCCACCGAACTGTCTTGGTGATGTTCATGCTAAATGCCTAAGAAAGCATCACTTAGTCATGAGAGGTGTCCGATGCTCTCGGTGTTGTGACTCAAGCATAGGTATTTACAGCAGTGGGCATATCTAAAAACATAATGACAAAGTCTGTATGCCTGGATAAATACCATTTTGGGGGGTACAGAGCTGCTGCCCCAGGACCTAAATTAATAACAACATGATAACAATAAAACAAATCAAGAAATACAAATGGGCTGAGAGGACTGAATCACTGCAAGGTGATGAGTGAGATGATTGAAATTGCTAAGGAATCTGGACTTTGGAATTTTGCTGAAAATTAAATATCAATGGATACATTCCCTGCAGGGGAGCATGTATGGTATTCAGACCCACTCAATAGTTATGAAGATGACTTTTTAAACCAGCTGCCCAAGAATACAAAGGAAACGATGGAAAAGCTACGATCTGAATCCAGAGCCATTGAGACCCAACACAATGCCTTAGTAATAAAGCTGTCTGGTCTAAGGTTTGAAAAGATCCTCAGGTGTAGGAAATGCTGAAGTTATACCTGCCAATTTTTCCAGACTTCTGTTCTGATGCATTAGTGCAAGTCATCAGCTTGAGTTTCAGACATTTGTTCTTACTGAACACTGTTTTCAGTCTGGTAGTTGAATAGCCAAGAAGCTCCCATAGTTCAGCATCAATGAAAATAAGATGTTGTATCCAGGAGTTGGTACCTGATTTGCCATGTGATAGTATCTTCTGGTTGCTGGCAGTCTCAGATAAACTAGTTAGGAATACTTATACTTTGAGCAATTTAATCCTGCTCTATTAGTGCTTTATGGGCCTTATCCAGCAAGTCCACCTTCAGGCACATATCTAGTTAAAGTCGATAGAAGTTCTGTCAGACTAAAGACTGCAGGGTCTGAGACATTAGAATTACATGGTTGGTGAGCATGGTAATAAGGAAAAGGAATATCACAATAAGACTTTAATAAACTGTTTACACTGTTTTAGTCCGGTGCAGTGAATTCAATAGAATCCTGCTTTCATAGAAAATACATACGTTATATTAAATCAATTAAGAATTATAGATTGGTGTTTATTCAGTAGTAATTACATAAAGCCAACTTTTTATCATTTCTTAAGTGATTAGACGTTGCACAGTGCTTGCATTTCTAATTACAGTCAGTCTGTAAAAGCTGAAATCCTAATTTATACAATACATGCTAAATGGGCAGCATTTGTTTTTATTTTTCCTCTATCACAAGAAATGACTGTAGTTATCATTCTCATTTAAGGTTGTTCAGACTCTGGGTGAGTGTACCATTACTGGTGAAGTTGCTTCAAAGTGGTACCCACTTCAGCACAGACCCAGATGTTTCCAGAGTATGTGCTGAGAGCATCTCTCACCACTGCTGCCCAGCGGTACCCACAAAAAAGCATCTGCAAATCTCTGGGCTAGCATTTCAAACTAGCCCTGCCTTGTCATGGCTCTCATTTTTGTGGCTTTGAGTATGGGTTGAAGTTAAGAAAAAAACAGTAATTGCTGTTATTGTGTCTTTATAGTAGATCTGATACTGAACTGAAGATTAAATCAATACTGTCATTTCTATATAAAACTTCAGTTACATTTTAAGCCATTATCACAGTGAATGTGCCTAATGCATTCAATTTTACAACAAAACTAATCATTAATTCCATCTTTACTGATGTTAGTGCGTATTATAACATTTTTCAAAACTAGTATTTTGAATGTCAGGTTACTTTTTGCTGGTTTTTTAGGAGAAACCATAATATTAGTATGACATCTCTTATAATAATCTAATCCCTTTTCAGGTGTTTCATTCATATTTTGTTCCCTTGCATCAAGGGTATGCAAAGAATGAGTAAATGTTTTGTCAACAGGGACAATAATGATTAAGGTACAAATAGTAAATATGACTTCGGGTCTGGAATCAGATTATAGGATTAAAATGAATTAAAAAAACTATTCTGTAGTAGGATTGCAAAGTTCCAATCAATATCATCCTGTAACAATTTTAAAGGGGAAATGCAGGAAGAAATAGGGCAAAGAAAGCACAACTTGAGGTTGCTAGTGATGCTTGAGTTTCTTGGTTTTCTTTTGGTTCGTCAGGTCCCAGCAAGAAAGCTGCCATGTCACCTGAATGCCATTCTTTTAATTTCTATTATGTCAGTTGTGTTGTGTTGTTTTGCATCTGCATTGATTGTAAGGGTTAAAGACATCTGGCCTTAGGTTAGTGCAGCAAAAGGGAAGGAGAGACAGCAGACAGGGAGGTTACAGAGCACCTGGCACCTGTTTACAAAGGGGGCAG